TCGAGCCTGCCATAGGGGCAGCCCTCATAGCCGGTGGTCGCATTGTACCTGAGCCATGGTCATGCGGTCGCAGCGTTGAGAAGCTGGGGGGTTCTTAAGCTCTGCCCAGAGGCCATGGGAACAAAAGGGGCATCCATTTTTTGGTTGGTTCGCAACAAGAGCAAAAAGGGCGCCACTGGGCAACTGGGTAAGAAAGAAAGTGCCACCTGAAACCTAAGCTTTTATATGTGGTCGACTTTTTTTGGCCAGGTGGTCCCAACTGGCTTCGTGTTTTGGCAATCACTTGGCCCATATCGACGCAGCCACATCCCAAGCCACGAAAAACGCCCACGGTGTCAAACGATTCTATCAAATTCGGTTTGTCTTCAAATGGGGTGCCGGTTTCCTTTGAGGTTCCCTTGAAATTTTCAAGCCAAACGGGTTTCCCCACAAAATCTATGAAGAGGTGCGAATGGGAAATAGACCCCTGCGGCTTCCTGGGGTCTGTTTGGCCTCGCAAAACGCATACACAACCCTGGCTCCGTGTTGGACGCCGCCTTCTGACAAAGTGAGATAGGACTCAAGTCAGAAGAAACGAAAAGGTCAACCAGCTGACAAGTTGTGACAAAAGAGAGTCCAAAAGGTCCCCTTTACAAAACAACCTGACGAACGCACGTTTGGGGAAAACTGGGATACCTCAGCTGTTAGTTTCCTTGCACAAAAATGCCCATTTCTAGATGCTGGCGTGCATGCCTAGTCAAGATCAGAATGCAATCAAAGTCAAGAGCCAAAGCCTAATTTGCCTGAACATGATAGGGTCCGCCATTTGCTGCCCAACTACCCTGGTAGGAAAAGTGAAAGCTGTCCTGTTGTTGTTGGGGTTGTCACTGAGTTGTCACTTCCTTTTTGGCACGTGCCGAAGGCACCAAACAAAGAGGACAAAACCGTTTCCGCTGGATGACCTTGATAACCCAAACAACATGTTTACCAAACTGAACCCGTTCACCCGAACTCTGCTCAACTTCGGTGGATTGCTTGTTGTTTTTCACCAAAGCTGTCCAGACAATATCTAAACGTACGAAGTCCAGGGAACTTGGGAAGATCCTACCTTAGTGGGGAGGGTGTGATCCAAAGGAAAGTGACAACTTGTTCAATCGACTGAGCTTCAACAAAAGGATTCCCTACCCTAAAATATTGGAAACCATGTTTGGTAATGAAAGGAAACCAAGAGGAAACCCGCCATCTGCAGGGGCCCCGAATTTGGAGAAACAGCCATGCGAGGGTGGATCAATGATCCTGGCTCCCAAATGAACATGGGTAATCTTTCCCATATGGGAAATATCAATCATCCTTTTCTCGTGGTTTTCCAAACAATGCTCATCCCATGTAAAATGGACTTTTTGATGCTCAAGTCCCGTGTGTTCCGTGCTTTTCTTGGGGGGGGAACCCGATTCGGGTGATTGTCCCTTCAAACCCCGGGCAATGGGCGAGGTGGTTTGATCACCCCTGATTTCGACAAACGCAAAAGCGGGCATACGCAGGAAGCGGGGATATGACAATATGGGGGATTGATTCCCTTGGCGCCATTTCCCATCTCAAACTTCGTCAAGGTGCAAACGGGGGAATCCTCCCATATCCCTGGTTCCCCCTTCCCTGGTTGGCTTCCCTTACCTCGCTTAGGAAGCGGATTGGCCACCAGAGCTGAGCTTCTGAGCTTTGGGCCACCAGGGAATGCAGGCTCCAGACGGCATCTGCGCGATTGACTCGACCGATTCGGCGCCGAGGCGGGGCTTCTTGGGCGTTTTCGGAATAGAAAAGGGGAAGGGCTTCCCCTTGGCTTGGTGGCTTTCTTCTGCTTTTGAGCGAGACACCAAACACGACACAAACTGATTTTAGGGGAACTCCCCAGCCAAAGTGCCTGGTTTCCCAGAAAGGGTGGCATCTTTTTTTGTGAAGCAGCCGGCCTAATGGCTGGTTCCCCTTCATTTCCTTTTGGATTTTCGTCAAAGCGACCCGTCCCCAACAAAAAGATGGGCCGATGCCCATAGTTCGCAGTGACGCTTTCAGCAAAACCTATGTGAGCCACAGTCGATAATCGGCAGATGCCCTTGACACTACACTTTGGCGAGGTTCACCCCCACGCATCAAGATTCACCATTCCCAAGCTGGCGTTTTTGCAGTGCAGTCCGGGTGGGAAAGTTCACCCCTCTTCTGGCGTGCTCCAGGCTAGTGGGAGGGAGGGTACTAAGATACAGGGACAAAGTGCGTACCAACAGAATAGTCAATGATCTAAGAATGCAACTGATGTTCAGTAAAGATTGAGCGAACATATAGGGGGCCAAAATAGGATACTCGAAAGCAAGTGTAGGTAAGCTTAACATAGATGAACAAACGAAAGCAAACTTGTTTTGGAGGATAATTCTAAAGAAGCTTCTCCACTCTTTGTGAGAGTCACCCCCTTTTTCTGAAAGGCAAAGGGACGCATAAGACTCTTTGTGGTTCGCATGTTCAAAAACGGGACTACCTCTGATTGGCATCCTGAAGAGGAGAAAGGGCGTTCCTCAAAAAAGAGTGGCTACTCTTTCTTCTTTGACTGACAGCCGCTTTGTCGCAAAATCTGACCTCCCAATGTATGGCTCCATAGTTTCCCCTTGGAACAACTCCAAACAATCAAATGGGTGTTTGTCCCAATTGACGCAAGCCCTTCCTCTCAGTGCTTTCACCCTGGCACTGAAGCGAGAAGCGCGTTTTGCCCCTTGGCTTCCATCTAAAACAGCTCCAACAAGGCACCCATCACAAATTTCCCTCGACAAAGGTGGTCCCCAAACACCCTCCAAATGGTGGGTGGACACACATCCACATGAAAATGGCGTCCGGAGTCTTGGTTCAATCAACGACCACAGAAGGGGCTCAATCACTTCCGTTCAATCAACGACCACAGAAGGGGCTCAATCACTTCCCATGGTCATGACTCAAAGTAGTTATACGATTTATACGCTGCCCCAACCCCCCCGTTCTGATGCCCTTTCGACCCTTGGTTCAGAGTGGGACCCGGGTCCCAGCAAAATGCGGGCACGTGGTAGAACAATTGGCTGAAAACACAAAATTTTCAGCGAGCCAACCATCGAGCAAAATGCGGAAAACGGGGTTTCTCAGAGGTCAACTTGAAACATCCCCGAAGCGAATTTCAACCAGTGGGCCAAAAAGCGATATTTAAGCCACCCAGAACAGGAAGTATCAGGATTTTGTTTTAATTGGTCGACTCCCCGCATTCCAGATATGCAGCAGCATAGATAAACACAACAAGCAAAAATCAACAGTCACGAACCTCAATCAATTTCAATCAATGCTTGTGTAAGTCTAGATGTGTGGTTTGTGCCAGACTAGAACTTGAGCCCACGAAAATCGCTGGATTTTCCGCTCGAAAGTCTGAACGTGCTGATGAGTTGCATTGGAACGCCTAGGCAGATGTTCCAGAACGCATGGCCAAATCGAGGGAACAACTGGCTATCTGTCCAAATCCGGGTATCCCCCAAAACACCAGGTTAACAAAACACGGTGTCAGTACAAAACAATCCGGGCAACTGGGCCAAAAATGCGTGCTCCGTTTGGCCTCCCTTGAAAAGGCAACCCTAAGGCTACCCTCCAAAAATGGCACGCAACCACCAACCCAGCTGAGGCCAGCGTCGAACCCGCCTGGAGGTCGGGGCGCCCAGGCGCGCTCGAGCCGTCAGCCACCAGGGTTTGGCTGGATGCCCGGATAAATCAGGAAGGTTTGGGACTAGGTCTCAGATGCCCAGTGGCCACTGGAAAAAAGGGCACGCTTTTTTTGTTTCAGTTTAAAGGGGAACCCTTGCCCATTAAAAAACAAAAAAAAACGGCACCACTGGGCAACAGAGAGGTCCTCCAGTAGAGAGGTTAGAATAAGTTGGCACCAACTTTATTCTGTAGTCGATTTTGGGGAACCCCTCCCCCAAAAAGGGGAGAGAAGGGCACTCTAAAACCTCGGGGATGTATCCGTTTCACCGGATTGGACTTGACATCTTGGTGCGATAGGTAGGGAACCGAGTCTGGCTGTGAATGAACCTCAAGGAGCCAAAGGATGGATGGTTTTTTCTTGGGGTCATTCCAATTCTCATGGTGAGAACCAAGGAGTGGACTGGCCCAAGAAAAGTCCAAACTTGTTGCTTGCCAAGATGGTCTTCCCGAAAAGTGGCCATGGGTCAATACCCCGTACCCCCAGTGAATCAGTGAACATCCCAATCCAACCACTAAAATAGACTAACATGGGTGGTGCAGCCATCCCAAAATGGTACCATTGGTTTTGAACCATGGCCAAGTGACGAAAGTCCCGGAACTCAGGGAGTGAGGAAACCATGTCTGAGGTCTGGTGCACCGTGATGCCCGCCCAGGCCCGCGGAGTAGCCAGAGATTCTTCCGAATGAACCCCTGACCCTTGAGCACCTTTTAAAGAACAGCCAAGCATCGCCCAACAGCACGAACCCTCCTAGTCCCCATGCGGACCGAAAAATGGGTGGTTTGGATTGGTTCTGCCCCCACTAAAAATGAACAGAACACACAAAAAAATGGAAAACTACGAAACATACGAAACAAGCATACTTGAAGCATTGAGGAGACGCTCTTTTCTTGCTGGCTGATTTCGCTGCGGGTCGATGCTGCGACTTTCTTTGTCGGGTTTTGGGGTGGCCAGGTTGCCCCGACCAATTGGTAGGTTTGACTCGCCTTTTGTCATTGTGCCCACACCGCCGAAGGACGGCACCGCTGCCACTCCGGGCGCCTTTTGGCGAGCTGCGATTCGTCGACTTTCCCACCCGTGCCAAGGTGAAGCTCGCTTTTGGCGAGACACCGCCAACAGCTCAAATATAGGCTGAATTGAAGAATGATTGCGCCTGGAGTGGGGTAACTAAAACTCACTGATCTTCTCGTTTATGGCGATGGGGCCAAAAAAGTGTTTCAACTACAAGGGAAACCGAAGGAAAACCGACCCCTTTTTGGACGAATCCGGGTTCAATGACTGGTCCCACTCCAAAGGTGTGAAACAGGAGAGAGAAAAAATGTATCGCTCTCAGGTCGGCGAGAACGAGCGACTGCGCCTGCGCTGGTCCAACTCCTAGCGGGAGTGGTTGCCTAGGAGGTATGAATTTAGAGTTGGGTAAATTGAGAGTTGGGTGAACGTAGATGGCACGACTCCCCTATCTAGTTTTAGTCTTCCCCTTTACGTAGCCAAAACAAGAGCAGATGTGCAATCTGCTTTCACCCTATCCAAGCGTGGGGGTTCCATATCCTGCTTAGAGACAAGCAGGGATATGGCCATGGGTGAAAAGCCCGTACCGCCAGTGAACATCCCAATCCCAACTAAAATAGACTAAAATGGTTGGTACCATTGGTATTGAACCATGGCTATATGAACCTTCAGGTAACCTTCATGGGACCCTGTGGCGCTTTCTATCATGGGCATTGGTGTGCACTGGTTCACCTTTTCGAGGCTTGTCAATAAGTTGATCGTCAAACTGTCAACCCACCAAGTCTCACTTCCCAAGTTGACTGGCCAAAAAAAGTCTGAACTTTTTATTTACCACTAAAATGGTCGTTCCAAAAAGTTTAAAGTCCATCAACTCAGGAAGTGAGAAGTACTAGGTTAAAGGGAAATACCCACACTAGGTCCTCCAGTGGTACCCTTTCTCTCTGTAGTCTATTTGAGTAGAGGAACCCTCCCGCAAACAAATAAACGATCACTACTGGGGGACTTGCCCTAAATTTCCCCTTAATACATCGACCCAGGGATACTCACCTTGCATGGGCCCAACAGGTAATCCCACCAAAAAGGGAAATATTGGGAATTACGCAGTTGCTGACTTTGCGAATCTCTCGAGAAACAAACATAGATAGGTCGCCTCCTCCCCAAGCATTTGGTGAACCTGTCTCATGAGAGCTGGCTGAATGCCCTCGTCAGATGCTGCCGAACGGGACTCACACTGCGTGCTTTCTGTTCGCTGGTTCGCTGGTTTGCCGGGCCTACACTCTGGAAATACCAAAGGCAAGGGCTGGTGGACACTGGAGGAAGTTATGTCTCGTCTCTGCACAGGGCCTAAAATGAAGAAAATGGAACTCGATTCAACACCCCCACGGGCCCGAAACAGCCCCTGATGTTTCGCATTTCCCTTTTGGAATACAAAGGACATTGAGGCTTGTTGGGAACAAAAAGCCACCGCTTTGCCCCGCGAGCAACTTTCAAAGAAATTTAGAAGGGATGGTTTCCCGCCAGCGAAACGCAGTGGTTTGAGTTCCAAACCCGTGGCCCAATGACATGCAGAATGGAGCCGCGAATTTGCTTCGTGAACATGCGTTACTTCAGACGCATCCTCAGAACTTGGTTGGCTGTTGACTCCTCTGCATAAAGTTTGACTTTTTGAGTGTCCAATGGAAAATCCGCTGTTTCCCAACAAGCTAAGGTCCAAAGATCCAACCAAGTAACCTCACAGAGAAGATAGGGTGGTTCTCAAAGTGGGAGCAAATGGGATTGGACTGGGTCTCTGAAAGAGGTAAATCGTTTTCAAGGCTCAACACTCTTGGGTGCCGGTGGGACCTCCCGGGAAAACCCACCATTTGGCTCCTATAAATTTGAGGCTGTAGACTGTAGAACTATAAAATGAAGGATGTGAGTAGGCATTACTATAACCCCAACAACACCAGGTGCTCGGTTGCTTTCTGCTCCCCTGCTAAGACTTTAACTTTTAGTGGTTTAACCGAAAACCCATGAGTTGGCAAAAAGTTTTTCAGTCCGAACATCCCTTGGCTGGCAAAACGCACCAAAGGGTAGTAGCACCCCCTTAAACAAACATGGCCACCCTGAGTCAACCAAAGAGTCGACGAATTTCGAGCCTCACTTGACGAGCCATTTGTGCTCCAGCAGCTGCTTGGCCTTGGCTCCAGGATGGTTTGTTTGCCCACCTACTCACAAAAAAATCAATGCGGAACTGGGCTGCCCGTTTTCTGATCCCCCGCGAAAAGTTTTCAATTTTTAGTGGGTTAAATGGAAACTGCCACTAAACACTAAAAGGTTAAGGGGATGGCTGGGAGCCAGCAAGTGTGAAAATGGGAGTACTCCCATGAAAAAAAACCAAGCTGGTGAGTGAATAGTTAAATTCCCACACGCACTTCCTGATTGGCTCTGCCAGCAAGTATCGAACCTTCCTTTTACCACTAAAACCGTCTTGCCAAAATGTATGAAGTCCGAAACGGAACTCAGGGTGTGCACTCAACAAAGGTGGGGGGGGTCTGGCTTCCCTTGGAAGAACCCTTCAAGCAACCAAAAACCAGCTCCTGCCCCCAACAAAAGGCTACAACCCTAAGCTCTCTGCGCAGTGCTTTGAGCAGTGCCCAACACAGTCCGGTGCAAATTAAGGGAGGGAAGCCAAAAATCAACAGATGCCTTCCATGAAGGAGTTGCCTCTAGACCTCTGCGCATGACGGGGTTTTCGGGTTCCATGTTTGGAGGGATGTAGCTGTTAACTCAGGGTGCGTTGCTCAATGTCCCCATTCCCAGCCATCCGAACCAGCCCATGGGGTAGAGGGCGTCTCCCTCTGCCCCTCTGCCGTTGGAGCTTCCATTAAACCGGTTCGATACCCTCTCAACATCATGCCCCAAAACAGGTGCCCTCAATTGTTCCATAAGCGAAGAGCAAACACCACCGAAGCCCAAAACAGGAATTCATCTTTCAGCAAGTAAACAAGCAGGGAAGATCCATTTTGCCACGCGCCAACGTGCAAATGAGCCAGCACCAAACCCGGTGCGCCATTCCGTGTGCAACGATCACCATGAGCATCGGATATGCTTTCCTGTCAATGAATAATTTCCTATGGATCGTTTAAACCATATTTCAGTTGACCTCCTTCAATAGCAAAATCACATATCATGATCAACAGTTTAAACGTGTTCAACAAGCAGGATGAAATACATTGTAAATACAGCAATCAATAGAGAGTCTAGACATCAGATTTGACCAAATCTGCTGAAATCTGATCAAATCATGGTTCTGATCAGATTTGATCAGGTTTGGATTAGTTCTGATCTGGGTAGGTTTCATGACACTTTCCATAGACCAATCAACAATGTAATCAATAGGCAAGTCCACAGGCTGATCAATCAAACATTCGAAAACATGCTGCTAAATAATAATCATGGCCGGTTTGCAACAAAAACACGTAATGCAATCACATACAGGGATTATTACTTACAAACTGCTGAAAGCTAGTTGATTGTACGAGGAGTTCGTCCCCTCGCGTTTGTAGGACATGCAAGTGAGTCCCCCCTCTCCCTCCGGATTTTGGACCATAGACTCCTTATATGATATATGTCATTGGCCCACATCTGGGGTACACAGAACATATTTGGTTCTGACTCTATTCAATATTCAGTCTGACCTAACATATAAAATATGTTTGGAGCAGACCACCAGCAACTGTTTCCAAACCTCAGATGCTCTGGCCAACCCATTGCCAACCCAACCCCCTGTTTGTTGGACAATTGGTGAGTTCCCCCATGCCCATCCCAAATGAACCGTATGGGTATCTGTCTAAAATAGGGCACCCCAAGAGGGTTGTCCCTCCTTTTTGTTTCCCTTCAAACCAAAATGATTCGAGTAAATTCCCCCTTGTAAACACACATACACCCGTATGGCCATGACCTTTAATTGGGGCCCCTCTGGCGAACATCTTTGAGGTGGGGTTTTATGTCCACCAACCACTTTCCAGGGGAGTCCATATTTCAATTCATGGCATTCATGGCCATATAGACTCCCAAACAACAAATGGCCATGGGTCAAAATCCCGTACCCCCAGTGAACATCCCAATCCCCGCTAAAACAGACTAAGATGGGTGGTGCACCTAGCCCAAAATGGTACCATTGGTTTTGACCTTCAGCCAAATCCCACCGAGCCCATCCTCTCGTCTTCCCGGATTCTTCGCCGGCCGAAGGGGCGGTGTGGCGCTCCGGCGCCGCGGTCTTCAAGCAGCAGCCGAGGAAGGCTTGGCACTGCTCCGAGACTTCCCGATCCTCGGCACCCGTGGGATGTGAACCGCCAAGGGACCTCCGGGAAAACCTACCATTTGGCTCGTATCAATTTGAGGCTGTAGTACTGAAATGAAGGATGTGAGTAGGCAATACTATAACTCCAACAACACCAAGTAGTCTAGGTCCTCTAGATTTGAGAGGTTCGAATAAGTTGGTGCCCACTTTTTTCTGTAGAAAATATGTTAGTAGGGAAACCCTCCCCCCAAAAAGAAACGGTAAAAGGGCACTACTGGGGGGCCTAGACAGGTTCTCTGGGAACTTTTGCTTTTGGCTTTGCTTGAAAACCTGAACAAGGGAAGTCCTCAGAGGTGTTGTGGGCCTTTGCCTTGAACGCCTCCCAAACAAAAAGGCACCCTTGGCTTCCAGGTTGGCTTCCAGGTGGGCTTCCAGGTGGGCTTCCAGGTGGTCTTCCTTTGGTTTGTCCGTTGGTTTTCTTCGTTTCCCCCCGTAAAGTGGGCCTCGACTAAGTTTCGACCACCCTATTCCCGCATGGGACGCCTGCGAGAGATCACCGAGCCGTGACCCGTTACTTTTTGGTTGGCTGTAAGTTGAGAGGAGCAAAACAGCCTGTCCACACAGTGCACGTAAGTGCACGTAATTTTATCATTGACAAATCGGAGATGCGATTGATGCCAACAATCCCCTTTTCTACCCAAAACCCGACTTGGAGACTAAACTGGGTGGCCATGAATAGTACCCTCCAAACCTCCCCCCCCAAATCTGGACAAACTACTAGACAGCATAAACAGGAAATGAGGATACCCGGAAGCAACCTTCATCATTTGTCCAGACTGAGATACGCTGTGGACCCCGGAGTTATCAACAGCGAAGCAGTTGTTTATTTACTTACTTTTCTTTTGGGGGGGGGTTCCGATTCTTAGACAAAAAGGACACACCCAAGTTTGGCCGGGTCCTCCAGTAGAGGTTCGAAGAAGGGCACCGACTTTTTTTTCCTGTAGTCCATTTTAGCAGGGCACCCCTCCGAAAAAGAAACGGTCAAAGGGCACCTGGCTGAACCAAAGAAGGGCCTCCCATCCAACCGGCCCACCTCCCGGCTACCCGGGCGCCAGCTGCGGGCGCTCCCCGCGCTCCGTGAGCTGCCGGATCTGGTGGGCGGCCGCCAGAGGGTTGTCCGCCGTCACCTGCGCCGAGAGGCGCCAAGAGCCGCGGGCAGAGAGGCGCCTCTCCGAGTTCGGTTTTTCCCCGTTGAGTGGGTGGACACCAAAAAGGGAGAGGGTTGGAGAAAAATAACTGACAGTGTTGGAAACCCAAATGGACAGTTTTGTGTACAAGGGTTGGAAACCCAAAAGGGACCGCATCTTCTTCTTATCGCCTTTGGGAGTTCTTTTTCATATGTTCAGTCTCCGATCCCCGGGCCTCTGGTCCTTTCGGCTTCCCTTTCGAGGCCTAACAAGCTTCGCCGACTCCGCTCCCCTTGTTTCCCCTCGAATTCCAAGAGAAGTCGCCTCAAGTTGGCCAAACCGGCGAAGCCATGAAACGGGAAACTCTGGGGAGACCCCTGTCAGAGGGCGTGAGTCTCCATTTCCACAGGGTTACCTCAAAAAGGCCGCAACTACAACAAATGACAGCAATGTTCATGCCGCGAGGTCCCAAGCCCAGTTCGTGGTGTATACCAGGCAAGAACAACTCACCCCTCATGGAAGTGGCGTAACTGTTGCCGAGATACTTTTCTATGGCGATCCGCTTTTTAAACAAACATGAAAGTAAAGGGGTTTCGGAAGACTGTCGTCCTTTTGGCAACGGCCCCATGTCCACTTCCATGTTGAAAAGGCGTCTTGGCTAACAAAACTCGCGAGCTGACTCTTGCGACCTCGCGGCATGATGAACATTGCTAGCCATACCAAGTGCAGAAACGTATGGTATCCCATCTAAGCATGCATCTTAATCAATTAGGCGCCCTCTGTTGGACGTCCACTAACCACTTTTCAGGGGGGTTTCGAATAAAAGAATAGCCAATTTATAGGTGTGTGTTTTTAAAGGGAACCCCTTTTGGTTGGTAACCAAAAGGACACCAACCCTTTGGAACACAAGATCATGCAAAGAATCAGAAGAGAAATCCAAACCTATCTATGGTTCGCACTGTCCCTGACCAACCTTCATTTACCCCAGTGTTGACTGTCAAGTGGGCAGGTCTCTAACTCCCAACGGAAGAATTCGGTTGGCCTCCAAACCCAACCTCCCACATCTCAAACCGGGGTCACTGTTAAGCTTCATCGTCTATCTGTCTCCAGCGACGCGCTCGCATGCAGCCGCTTCATTTTCCACGGAGTTCGGAGCCCGTCACAGAGCTGTCCTTCTTCGATTGGCTCACTATATGTGTCTGATACACTCTGCTTTCTACCACTTTTTTGGGGGACAAAGCGTCAATCAGGTGATCTAAAACTGGTTTCCTAGGCCATCCATTCGGGTGTGGATTGGTGTTTGAGGATACCCTTTTCAGGTTTAAAGGCACAAAGGGACAACAAATCTGGGCGCTTGGTCTTGAAAGCGAAAGCTCGAATGGAACCCAAAGGACTCCGGAACCTTCGTATCTTCCCCCTCTCTGAAATCCGTGGAGGATGGCACAAATGGTAACTGTCAAAAGAGAAACCAAAAGGTCCACTTTCTGAGGAGCGGCCCGAAGACCATTTTGATTCGACTCTTAAAACGTAAAGACATTTCAACAAAGATCCCCATGCGACTCTTAGTGGGAGCAAACAACTGGACATTTGGACGATCTGTCCCTTTCAAACGGCTGGTTGAGTTGAGATACTGTGATTGGCAAGAAAGGACAGCCCTCACAGATAGACCCTCGTCTTCTGCAGCACTTCCTGTCTGCACAGAGGGCACGTGGGCACATCAGTGGTGGCCACACCTAAACCGCGGCAAGGGTCGAAACGCCGAATCTGGCCACGGATGGGGTTGCCTTAACAACTATGATTGCCATTGCTTCTCAATGGTCCATGGTTGCCTTCAGAGCACCCCTTAGGAGGGTTCAAACTGTCTAAGCTCCTGCAACACCAGCTTGCTATGACAGGGGTTTGCTACTGAGGTAGCCCATTATTCATTGCGTTTCAGCCATCCCAAACCATCCAACAACATGCTCTAACGGGGATTGTTGCCCGTACTCTTGGTCAAACATAGGAAACTTGTATGAACGACACATCCAATTTGATTAGGATGCACCTGAAAGGACACCAATGCTTAGTTCAAACAGAAACAGGATTGATCAAGCAGGTCTACGACATATACTCTGATCCCACCCACCCACCCACCCAACAAAAAGTGTATCCAAACATGACAAGTGGATTCTCTCCAAGCCTAGGCACCCTATGACCAAGCAGTCTGACCCAAACATGGACGACACTGATAAGAGCACCCCAAAGGCCCTGGCCAGGCCCAAAACCAAACCAAATCTCCAAACCAAACCACTTTGGTCAAAAGAGATGGCGAGTGATATCCAAGATAAACAAAACCAAACAGGTCCAACACCAACCCCGCTTTGCTCAAACAACAGTCCAAAGCCAGGAAAGGTTCGGTCAAAATCACAGCGAAGTGATATTTCCAAGACACATACCCGGCACATACAGAGGTGCCCGCATGGGAGCAGCACATGGTCGGAGGGCAGAATCATGCAAAGAGCGCAGCGCTGGACTTGCGGAGCTTCGCGGCTTTGATGCTCCAGAAAGTTGTGAACCTCAACCTGACCAAACGTCCGGGCGGGCGCGTGGGCGACAAAGGGGAGTTCTCATTGAAAAACCGCTATAAAACCATTTTGTGGAAGTTTTCCCCCAGGAGATCTGGACATTAATTTGAATCAGGGAGCCTTGGGTGAAATCATTTAGCATCCATGTCCACCAGCCACCGTTGAGGTGGTTCCCCTGAAAAATCAAAACGTATCATCATTTTCACAAGTTCCCACCCACAACTCCCCTTGTATATTTTCTCCAGCGGCCTTAAGAGGGAGTCGGGTGCTTGGAGTCCGCAAAAAGGCCGAGAAAACCGTTGTTTTTGTTGCTGGTTCTGCGGAAAACACACGCATGAATTGGAACCGGAGGGTCCAATTTGATGAAGCCTCAGGTTCGAGGATTTGGGAATGAATCTGGGGATTCCCTTAGATGAAGCCACTAGGTTTGGTCAGTTCGGGGGTCAGGTCGGTTCCCGTCAGGAGAAAGAGGGGGTTGGGGTTGAGATCCTATGTTTGTCAGAGGAAGCTTAGAAGGAACTTCCGCGTTACGGCAACTGTTGAAAGCTAGCTCTCTGAGACAGATAGCAAGAGAAGGAAGGAACACGTGGGAAAAAAGTGCACGCACGTGTGGCAGGAGAATAAATGTGTGAAACAAGTGCAAGCCTCTCCGGGCCTGAGCGATTTGGGATCCTTGAAAGTTGCGCCTGCCACGAAATCTGCACTTGACCTCGCGAAAGTGCTGCCCCTGCCTCGAAATCTGCACTTGACCTCGCGAAAGTGCGGCCCCTGTGACGAAATCTGCACCTGACCTCGCGAGCGAAAGTGCTGCCCCGACCACGAAATCTGCAGCTGACCTTGCGAAAGTGCTGCGCCTGCCACGCATTCTGCGCCTAACCTTGCGAAAGTGCTGCGCCTGCCACGAGATGTGTGCCCACTTGGCCTTGCGAAAGTGCTGCGCCTGCCACAAAATGTCGTGGCAGGCGCAACACTTTCGCAAGGGGTGTAGATTTCGTGTCCGGTGCAGCACTTTCGCAAGGGCAAGTACAAATTTCGTGGCAAGCGCAGCACTTTTGCAAGGTCAAGTACAGATTTCGTGGCAGGCGCAGCACTTTCGCAAGTTCGATAGCGAGATAGATAGATAGACATGTGGATAGTGGAACACCGTGGAAAGAAATAAAGATGGATAGATAGTTTCATAGATAGGTAGGGAGAGAGAGAGAGAGAGAGATAAGTAGATACGTAGATAGTTAAACAGATAAATTATCAGGTAGAGATACAGATATATAAGTAGAAAGAAAAAACCGAGAAATTGAGAAATAGATAAGATGGTAGACAGATGGGTGGATAAATAGAGCGAGCAAAATACGGTAGATAGAGAGATAGATAGATAGATGGATGGATGGATGGATGGATGGATGGATGGATGGATGGATGGATGGATGGATGGATGGATGGATGGATGGACAAATAGGTAGATGGATATATATATATATATATATATGGAAAGCGAGAGAGAGGAGATAGATAGGTAGATAGACATGTTGAAAGATAGATAGACAAGTAGTAGATGGATAGACGAGATACGTAGATAGAGATAAATCTAGGTAAACATGTTTCAAAAACAAAGAAAACACCGAGAGAGAGATCGAGAGATACACATATATGTAGATTCATAGAAAGAGTGGGAGGGACAGAGATAGAGAAAGAGACGGACATAGATAGATAGGTCAGATACATAGATAGATAGAGATATAAATAGGTAGGTAAATAACTAGATAGATAGTTAGATGGATAGATAGAGAAATATATCGATTAGGTAGATACATAGGTAGAGATAGATAGGTAGATAGATAGGTAGATAGATAGGCAGATAAGATAGGTAGATAAGATAGGTGGATGAGATAGGTAGATAGATAGGTACAGAGAGATAGAGATAGATAGGTAGACAAATCGCCCGAAAGAAAGGTAGATATTATGAATATGTATATATATATATATATATAAACAACAGAGGAAGAGAGGGAGAGATAGAACGATAGGTACATACATAGGCAGAGCTAGATAGGGCAGATAGATTGGTACAAAGATATAGATATTGATAGGTAAATAAATCGCCAGATACAGGTAGATATTTATGTATAGAAATATATATATATATATCAATAGAGAGGCAGAAATAGATAGATCGATATGGATAGATAGATAGAGAGAGAGAGAGAGAAAGAGACTGAGCGATAGATGGACAAATAAGTAGATAGATAGCTAGGTAGACGGATAGATAGATAGATAGATAGAGAGAGAGAGAGAGCCAGAGATAGATGGGTAGGTAGGTGGATAAGTAGGCAGATAGATAGACAGGTAGATAGATAGATTAGATATAGATAGATAGATAGACAGACAGGCAGACAAATAGATAAATAGACACATAGATAGACAGATAGATAGGTAGATGGA